CTGAAACGATGGCGGGGAGAGGGGGGCAGCAAAATAGAATAGCGACTATGGGTCCGTTAATATCCTATGCTTATTCTTTTTGCATATTTTGAAGAACAACGAATAGATTTTTGAATTTGAATTAGAAGAGCGGCCAATAATAGCAACTAATAATAGTTGAGGTTACACCTCTACTGATTATCGCGCTGGATAATCGGCCATCAGGAAGGGGGTCAAAGAAATGCAACCACAGGAGCTCTCGCATCGGATCACATGGCCGTGCCTCATCCATTCTGGCATGGGCAGACCAGAATGTCATGCTCTCTCAATTTTTCTCCACTCACCAACTTTCTACCAGTTTCTTGGTTGATCGCGTCGAAGCAACTTGGGTTAAATACCTTGCTCCAGGGAATTCACGGAATTCAAGACAAAGGTTGTCGCTGTAATGGATTCCCACCCGGAACCTTGTATTTAAAGCCGATTTTTCTGTGACTTAATCACAGGAGATTAGGCTATATATTCATTTTGGCTAAGAGACATCCGTACGGTTATGACTGCTATCTGAAGCTCAGAGATCATGGTATTTTAATTTAAGCACCGATCGTTTGGTTGCTATAAAGTTTGCGATTTTACCGTAGTATCACGTGAAATCCCGTGCATCAGATACCCTCACTTTGCTCTTGAATGAAAGCCATAAATCGATTGACTGATCGATCTGTAATTTTCGACCTTAGCGACTTCGAAATGAATCGAATATTTACGTCGCAGCCAAGTAATTATCGCTCAAACGGCAAAATGAAAACCTCCTTTCACTGCAAGGTATTTCATGCTAAGTCTTGATGATTGCAAATGACGAATGACAGCGGACGCTCGCTTTTCCTGATCTAAACTTTAACTATGAACCAACGGTGGGGTTGTCATTGATTTTATCTTACATAAGTATGCTCTGTAAAAGCTAGTTAAATAAGAATATGCGACAGCAAACAATATGAACTTTATTCAAGAATGTATCTGTACAAACCGACCAAAGCGCGTCAGCTTCAGACCCAAGCTACGAACCCGGTTGCAATAAGACTCGTCATCGAACTGGGGACTAATACACCAACCTGAGCCTTTCCTACAGGTGGTTATTCATTTTGATACGCCAGGTCGTTGAGGATTTTGCACCGGATTGGACAATGGTTCTATTCATTTTAATTTGCTTTGCTATGAATCAGAACTGAATAGGTATATTTAATTAATTAAGTAAAAAATTAAGTTCAAACCAGTTCCTCGTTTCGTTTTAAATTTCTTCGAAAGACGCAGCACATATGCAAAATGTTCTACAGGCCCTTTCAAAAAATGAATTTTGTGTCATTATTCAAGAATATCCAAGAACAATTCATTGCAAGGTACAATTCAGTCATCATCATCTATCTTTGTCGATCAACAACTGAATGAAACAGCTTGTCACATAGCTTTGTTTTCTACTACTTTTATCGGTCCATGGCGTTTTGGCGCAGACCGCTGGTTCTGTGTCAGCGTCAGGTGCTGAAGTCGCTGTAATGAGTCTGTATAACTAGACTGTAATCAGCTGCATATATTGAATGATTCAATCCACCATGTCATATGTCACCGGATTGCTTTGTGTGACGAAATGCCATGCCACAGTCAGACTATTGAATTTTTTATTACAATTCCATTTTGACGACTGTGCGATGTCGGTACGTTTGAATTTATGTCATTGGCAAATGGTCATGGATATCGATTGTTCGACCCTCAATTGAATGCTCTAGACGAGTACAATGCATCACTGAACTAAGAATGCCGAGGACTTTCATTTTTTTATAATCCCCTCATGGTCACTAAGTGAGGTTCCTTTGTCAGCACTCTGATAATTGATTGAGAGTCGGAGTTAACGGAATTGCACGTGGTCATCAGTATCAATTGCTTGATTTATCCCTCTGATTACGCATCGCTTGAAAGCCGTTTGTAAGCAGAATAAGAAACTTTTGCTATGAGCATCAATTTCAAAGCTTGTATTTCGTCTGATGATTTTACGGGGACAGTTATGGCAAAGTCATCAAGGCAAATTTACAGTAACAAGCTCAGATTTATGGAATTTTCAGAAGCCTGCCTCCTGCAGTCAAACAGGATTCCTACCTCTAGTAGGGCTGATTGCTGCTACAACAGATTTCTTGATTCCTAGTTGAACGGTAAGTTGCGGGCGGAAAATACTCTGTGCGTCACTCATTTCGGCTACGGCAGTAGATTTTACTACTGCTCGCTAGGAAATCAACCAATTAAGTTTGCTGAATACTATAATATTGCATTTACTCATAAATATTGCATTTTATACCGTAAGACTGCAAACACTTCTAATAAGATGCGTATGCATTTCAGCGATCCTACTTCCAAGCATTGCCGTCAGTGTAACAAATGTGTCCTTAATTTTGACCACCACTGCAAATGGCTGAACAACTGCGTGGGTCAGAAAAACTACAGGTAAGACTTTAGGTATCCAAGTCGATCGACCGTTTTGTATAATGAATTGAAATTGAAACGTTGCCTTGCTTCTGATTCTTTTGTCACTAAGAATTAAGCCGCATGGTGGGAGGAAACCATCCATTATCACATCGAATTTTTGTCAAGGTAGCATTATATTTACATTCACCACTTGAAACTGAACTTCCCATGCATAATATATTGAATTATGAATTATTTGCAAGGAAAGTTTGCAATTGACCGATGATGATCGCAAAATAGCCACTCGCTTTACAAATTACTGCCCTGATCTTAATTTGACTATCATTGTCACCGGAGTTCATTAGAAATTATCAAACGTTCATTAGACCTGTAGTAAGCGTTTACAAACGAACATATGTTCACCTGTGTTTGCTGTTTATCATTATGCAATGGTGACATCCGGCGTCATACAATTAAAATTAAAATTTTGTAATTCTCTTGCCCGTGAGTCGATGTTTTCCTTAAAGACTAATGTTCCCTTGACCTTTCATACAGTTTTGCTATCAGTCCATCCTTTTCTTAAGCATACGTGCCTTGTAACACATATGGCACTCAATTTCGTTTAACTTCAGCACATCTTCTTCAGCAGGTTTATGACAGAGCTTCAACGCTAAATAACGCACCCAGTCACGTTTCTCAAGTGTAGCCTTCAGTTTTAGTCGCTGCCTTTTTTACTCGTTTTGTATAACCAAGACAAGTATACGTTAATTAATTCCATTAGACGTGTAGTTAACAATATTTGTGTTGCTTCTTTTTTTCATGTGCTTTTAAGATGAGGCGAATTTTCAATATTTATCGATTGGACTTAGGAAGTAACACGAGGCAGTGACTCACGTCGTTCCTATTTCCAAAATTCGATATATTCTTCTGCTTACTCTAGTTTCTTTCTTTCCTGACGATCGTACTTAATTTTTGTACGGTTCAATGTGTGAGTGGCACTTAGCACTCGTCATGTTCGATACTCGATACTCGACACTCATCATATTCGTTACTGTTTCAGTTAACTAGAGCACAGCCGAACTCTGAGGGTGTGTTTTCATGGAGGAAGACTAACTACATTACTGCAACTTTGTATTTAGGTGTTTCCTTGCTTTCATAGCATCGGCTGCTCTCACAAGCACGTGGATAGCAGTCCAAAGTACCATTACTCTAGCCTTACACTACACGGTGCCTAATTTGCTGATCTGGAAGAAAGGTATGACGTACCAACTAACTTTGTCCTACAAACGAACCTGCGTGTTTGTTTTATAGAACACCTGATAATGTGCGGAATCCCTATTAGTCATACAATATGCATTGCCTTAATGATTTCTGTCATCTTCGTTTCAACTATTACAGCTGCGCTGGTCTGCCATCTTTTCTGGTTTCATATGCGATTACGTAAGTACTTGATACGCAAGCTCGCCTATTGGAATTTACAGCAGTTCTCTAATGCATGTTTCGAAAAGATTGCTATGTAAGGACGTGCACTGATGGTGATATCGCTTTATGAATGATTTAATTCAGACTTCTAAGTTAGTATAACCGCAGCAGATTATGACTGATCAATGAACCGCTAACGGTATGAATGAAACGAGACGCTTTATGATTAACACGGGTGAACATGCAGCGGAAGTAGGTAATAAATTAGTCGGTCAGTTTCGATGAGCACTCACCCTTTCAACTAGTTGCCGCAACAGAGCCAGAGAATGCACCTAACGTTCCCAATTTTTTGCTAGCGACTGTGGTTCGGCAGAGGAAAACCCGAGTGTGAGACCCAGGCATTCAAAAAATAAATTGCGTCAGGTCATGCTTGGCACTCCCGATGACTTTCAGCTAGCCAGCTGAGCAACAAGTAGCTATTTCGCCTTCCATTCTAGAAGCATTAGCAAAATATGTTCAGACTCTCGTAGGCGTAACTTTTTAGGGAAGTAGCAACGGCGTCACATCAAAGATTCTTCGGATATCTGAACTCCGGACAAGCGATTCACCTCAAGAGTCCATTTCAGACGCTTGTACTTGGTTTGGCAGTTTTTCGATCATGGCCTGCAACTCATAGGTGACCAACGGTGAACAGGGTTATGAAAATCGACGTGAATACGGACACTTTCATCATCGGAGTACACGTTGCTTTAGTCACTCACCTATGCATCTAATTTCTAGTGCGAATTAAATCTGTCCAAGATTACAGTGATGAAAAATGTATCTATTAATTGCATTTGTGTAGATAGAAATGGATTAGAATATGTACGAGTTAATTTCAAAAATGGACAATCTGCACTTGTCACGCCGCTCTTTTGACGGAGTGTCACTGAAGGCACTAATATATGGCACACGTATTAAATTTATTGCCCAGTCTGATCTGGAACACTCTAAAATAATCCAAAGATATGCTTTGCCTATTGATCAGATTACCTCATTTCGCATCACTGATAAAGTTTTCAAATTATAGTTAAACGTGGCCTTACGACGTATGCCTTTG